ATAGCCCTCATGTCAGGGACATGAGTAGTATTTTTCTCCCAATGAGAGGAGAGCCGAGCCAACCGTGGGAGCTGCGTGTCAGCAAAGGAGAGGTCTTGTGAGACTTCCTTGTTTTTGCCACACAACAGGTTGTGACCCTCTGCTTCTGCCAAGAGAAGCTAGAACTCCCATGGAAAATTCTCCCAACATTTACCATTTTAGGAAGAGGGAAAAGGAGGGAGGGAGGGAGGGAAGGAGGGAGAAAAATTGGAACTCAAAATTTTGTAAAAGTGAATTTTAAAAATTGTCTTTGCATATAATTGGAAAAAATAAAATACTATTAAAATGAATTAACTAATCAATGAATTTGCTACCTTACAATCAAAATGGGTAAAATAAGGAAAATCTTCTGATTTTATCATGGGGCTTATTTGTAATAAGAGTTTTTTCTCTAACTATGACAGATAAGGCCTCAATTCAACTCAACAAACATTTATTGAATACTGTACTTAAAAGGTTTTTTTGTTTTGTTTTGCCCAGGCCAGTGATTTCATCAGTGTAGGAAGCTCCCAAAACATTACAGGACTCCTGTAAGAGATGTACAAACCCTCAAAAAAAGGTTGGTTTAATCATCCAACAAGAAAAGCCAAGTGGACAAAGAATGTCATTTGCTCATTTAATGATATGCTGCTGGTTAGACATTCATAGAGCTTGTCTACCCAGTATCTGGAACATAGTCTTCAGAATAGATACATACACACACACACACACACACACACACACACACTCAACAGAACACAAGAGAAGTGTAAAAGGGTTGTGAGAGGTCCAAGGAAGTAAAGGTCATTCCTGACTCAGTGAATCAGAGAAGGGTCCATGAAGAAAGGATCATGGAAGTCAGTGTTGCATAGAGAATAGAACACTAGACCTGGAAGACCTGGAAGACCTGTGTTTGAATCCCACCTCAGACATGAACTGTATAACGATAGTAAGTTACTTGACCTCTCTTATGCTCAACTTCTTCATCTGGAAAATGAAGTTAATCATAACTGACATTCATGTGATAATGGTTAACACTGATATATGATCTTTAGGTTCACAAAAAAATGCTTTGAAATTTGCAAAGCACTTCACAAATATTTTCTCTGTTGATCCTCACAACAACCCTGGGCAGTAGATGCTGTTATCATTATTATTATTACCATTTTATAGGTCAGGAAACTGAGGCAGGCAGTTAAATGACTTCTCCAGGATCTCAAAGTTAGCAATTGTCAGAGGCTGGGTTTAAATTTAGGACTATCCTGACTCCAACAATCCACTGTGCCCCCTAGATGCCTCATATTCACATGTAACCTGAAGGTTCATTTGTTCATTCATTAAACATTTATCAAGAACCTGCTATGTGTCAGGCACAGTTTTAAGTACTGGGAATACAAAAAGAGGTTCATTTCATCCTCAAACAATCCTATGAGGTAAATGAATACTATTAACATTTAACTAACTATATTAACATATAACTATTTAGAAAGTCTGAGGCTCAGAGCAAGTAAAGGACTTGCTCAATTAGCTAGTATCTGAGGTAAAATTTGAACCCAGGTATGCCTGACTCCTGGTGGAATTCATTTCACAAGGTTGTCATGAAGATTCAAAAAGATAATGTACATAAGGCATTTTGCAAACCTTAAGGCCCTGTATGGGTAGGATTATTGACCAATGGGGAGGGTAGCATGAAGAGATATACAGGGGCAAGAAAATGTGGAGTAATAATTGGAGGTGGCTAGTAGTCATTTCAGATGATAATTACACATTGTTGGCACTTCAGCCTCTAAGTACAACACAATCAATATGATTGATCAATTTCATCAAAATGGCATCCCCGCCTAGACAACCAACCCCTGAGCCTAATTTTGAAGAAAAAGAAAGGTTACTCTCACATCTCCTCAATATAGGCCTCCATTCCCTAGGGAGCTGGAGGTGGGATGAGTGGGCAGATGATATATTATCGTGGGAAGAACACTAGCTCCGGGTGTCAGAAGACAGAGGTTTGAATTCCAGCTCTGATGTTTAATCCCAATACAAAAGGGTAGGTCTAGGTCAGAAGCTCTTAACCATTTTTGTGTGTCATGAAACCCTTCTGCTGGAGCCTGTGAACCCCTTCTGAGAATAATGCTTTTAAGTGCATAAAATAAAGTACATAGATTATATTCTAGGAGTTTGGGAGCACAACATTTGTCTATAATGCAATTCAATTATGTTAAAATTAAGATTACAGTCCATCTCACCCTTCATCAAATTCACAGATAGCTGAAATCTACCCGCAATCCCAAGCTCCAGGTTAAGAACTCACTGTGGGCAATTTTTAAGGTCCCTTTTGACTCTAAATTCTATGATCTTATAACTATCAATTGCTTAGCAACCTGCTAGGAATTCAAAGGCACATTTTGTTGTTGTTCAGTCATTTCAATCACATTCAGCTCTTTGTGACCCCTTTTGGAGTTTTCTTGGCAAAGATACTGGAGTGTCATTTCCTTCTCCAACTCATTTTATAGATAAGGAAACAGGCATATGGGTTTAAGTGACTTGTCCAGGGTCACAAAGCTAGTAAATGTCTGAGGCCAGATTTGATCTCATGGCCCAGCACTCTATCCTCTGTGCCACCTAGCTGCCCCAGTAGAGGCTTAATGCTTTCTCTCTGTTGATTATCTCCAATATATCTTGTATGTCATTGTTGGTTCATAGTTGTTTGCATGCCATGTCCTCCATTAGACTGCAAGCTCCTTGGTGGTAGGGACTCTTTTGCTTTCTTTTTATTTTATTTTGGTTTTGGCTAGGCAATGGGGTTAAGTGACTTGCCCAGGGTCACACAGCTAGTAAGTGTTATGTGTCTGAGGTTGGATTTGAACTCAGGTCCTCCTGAATTCAAGACCAGTGTTCTATCCACTGTGCCACCTAGCTGCCCCTGTCTTTTTCTTTCTTAGCACACATTTAGCACAGTATCTGGCACATAGTAGATGCTTATTGATTGACTGATAGAATACTAGAACTTATAGACATGTTAGAGATTATCT